GAAGGAATGTTGGCTAGCTCATTATGTATATGTATATATTTTGGCTTTAGTTCTTATCTTTACTGGTAAGAGTGTAGACTTTAGAAAAAAATGTGCAGCCTCATTTTTCATGCTTTCAACAGTCTCTTCTCCAAATGAATCTTAAGGACATAATACCATTAAGTATAAGTTAAGTAATATAACTAAATAATGGATTAACTATAGTATAGCATATAAACAGGTGAGTATATTCATGACAATTTGAGGTGCAAGGGAGAAAATACTAACAGTTTTGAGAAATGATCTCTCAGAAGTGAAGCCTCCTCAAAGGGTTAATAGTTCTTGTTAATAGTTCTGGTATTGTTGCACTTCCAACCTTGTAAAAGCATGCTTTCAACCCCCCCCACCCTGTTTTTAAGCACATAGCAGAAAGAATAGCCCTACCCCCAACCTGAACTGTTTACCCTTGAAAAACTTCCCAACTTTTCTTCTCTGTTTCTGGGGAAGATTTCCGTGACTAGATTGTGCCCCCTGAAACCCAGCCAGTGGGATAAGGGGGTTAGGGATGGGGAGCTCGAGTTAGGGTATAAATAGACCTTGCTTTCTGTAACCAACTTGTACTCCCTGGCCGGAGCTGTTAGTGCAACGAGGGGTGGTACCCCTTTCTCATGAGAAAGCAATAAACCTCTTTGTGCTTTCAAGGTATCTAAGTCTTTGTCTTGATTTTGAGTAGTGGTCTTTGTCCCACACACAACTAAGAGGATCAGGAAATTATTTCCTTAGGAAATGGCCTATGAGCTGAAACAGAGAAATGAATGAATAACTTAGTTAAGGTACAGATTTAACTATGTAGGTCACACCTAATTCTAATGCCTCCATCCCTTGCCTCCATGAAAAAAAAAACCCCAAAAAATAACGTTTGACACTTTTATGGCTAGTACTCAGAAGAAAACATTCTGCACATAAAATCAAGGGACTAATTCTAAATGAATTGGCCACATGAATACTTTTTTTGGCTTTGGGCAAGATCATTTAGAAATTTACTTCCAACTCTGAAATTCTTTGACTCTAAAGGCATTTAAGATGCTACTAAGTTACTGTTTTACTCTTTGTACATCAACAGCACTATTTGGATCTCCTGATTTTTATGTATAAGCTAAGATTTTCATAGTAATGTTAACTATATTTTAATCTGTCATTCCCATTTATTGTTCTTTTTTAAAAGCATTTGCTTCAGGCCAATGATTGTTTTCATAAGTGTCAGTATTTGTGTTTTTACCAAATGTATAATTATATCAGTATTGACAATTCTTAGTATTGAACTTCCACTATAGGAATTACCTTGAGTGTTCAAAGGCAATGCCAATGGAGTTTAAACTCTGGTGGATCTTACTGAGCTGGAAAGGCTTTGATATAGGCCTAGGGATGAACCAACTGCTTGTTTGTTATATGATGACTGGCTTAGATAACTTGGAAGAGGCTCATTCTAATATCTTGGATGTCTAGTAACAATTTTTTTTACCTTAGCAATTCTGAATACTTTCTGCTAAGGTAATAGAAAGATTATGATATGTCAGTGGAGTTAATACCTATAACTGACAAAATTATAAATCTTTAAAGAATAATTAACTCTAAATATTGAAATTCTTAGGAGTTGTTAGGCAGAGTATTTGTAGTATGATTTAAGTTTTAGATAGTACTTTAAGTGTACTCTTGAATTCTGATGATAGTCTCTCTGTGCATCACATGATTTTAAGAATGATGACTTGATATAGATAAGAGAATGCTACTTTCAAAAGAAACCCTCTTAGTTTCTAAGAAATCAGCTGACAAATGGACTTTGAACCCTTTCCTGTGTTAGAATGTAAGAAGTATAAAGTTTGGAGAGGAGATTGAATTCTCTGTCTCATTTCAAGTGAAAATTAAAGAGAGTGGTTCTGTTGTAAGGTTCAGTTTTTAGAGGATCCATGATCTTACTGGTATAGGTAATCCCGCCACTGACCCAGATCATAGCCTCTCTTTAACTTAGAAGATTGCCTTCCAGATTTGTTGTGGATAAAAGGTTCACCACTATGCTCAGAACAAAGACTTTCCAATTTGGTAAAAATTGTGAGAGCTTGTACTCTTGGCATAGCCTTCAAGAACATAGATCACCTCCATACTACAATGAGGCGTTAGAAATAAGATTACAGTGGAGTCTGTTCTCCTATAATTGGTTGTAAAATACAGCTAATATGTATTATAATATTTTATATAAATTTTTCCTTGCCTATAAAAGTCTAACAGTCCAATAGAAATCAAATATTTTCATATTACAGTGTAGTGCAGAATCTCAGAATAGTATTTATACTCATCACTACTTAGAAGTTACTATAGTTATTAACTTACTATTAGATAATATGTAACTATAGTCTTCCTGGAGACTATATTTCAATATAATTTTTTTGTAATTCCATATATTGTATATATGTAATTCTATATATTACATTTCATATATTTAAAAACATTATTCTGAGGAATCATAGACATCACGAGACTTCTAGAGAAGTCCAGGACACAAAAAAGATTAAGAACCCCTAGACTAAATGATCTCTTAAGATCTTTTCTAGTCTAGATCTATGATACTAGTTGTGGTCAATTATTTTTTATGGTATTTGGCCAAAAGTACATTTTTTTTGCACTTGGGATGGTTTGACATACGTTTAGAGAAAATATCTGTTTTATTTTCATTAAGATATAGTTATATCTCAAAGATCACCAGCAAACCCTTTGCCTATATTGGTTTTGTGGTCCTCTTCAAAGAACATTGAGAGAGTATAGTTTCACCAGTTTCTGGACCATAGTAATTTTTGCGGGGGGAGTTATGTTGCAGCTCTTGATTGAAACCTTGTCGGATAGCCTGCATGTGATTTGGTATGTAACTTTTTGATGTTGAAACATCAACCCAGTTTTTAAATGGAATTTTAAAAGACTGACTATTACTTTAATCCCAACAAGATGGAGGACTAGACATTTTCTTTGAACCTCACAACCTTTAAAGCCTCTCTAGTGTAGGAATTTTGTGTAAGAGATATAGCCTTTTCAACTCTCTCTATGGGTCTAGAACACCAAGAACTCTAACAAGGTAACAAATCAGGGTAGCTAGGTGGTGCAGTGGGTAGAACTTAACACTTACTAGTGTGACCCTGGGTAAGTCACCTAACCCCAATTGGCCCCCCCGGCAAAAAAAAAAAAGAATGTTAAAAATCATCTTTATGGGGCAGCTAGGTGGTGCAGTGGATAGGGCACCAGCCCTGAAGTCAGGAGGACCTGAGTTCAAATTTGGCCTTAGACCAAACACTTGACACTTAACTGGCTGTGTGACCCCGGCCAAGTCACTTAACCCCAATTGCCTAAAAATAAATTTTAAAAATTAAAAAAAAAGGTAACAAATCAATGTTCTAATATCAGAGAAGGTGAATTCTAGCTGCCCGGAAGATGTATTTTCTTGGTAGTTGTAATGAGAGCCACATCATAGGCATAATGTTTAGACCTGTTGTATAGTGAGTTTATACCACTCATGATCTGTGAACAGCAGAGTTGCTGTAACTTGTAAAACTTCAAAAGTTTTGTTTTTCCCCTCTAGAAATGTGGTTAATCATTTATTTAAGAGTCTCTAGCCTTTTTTTCCCCCGCAAGTCCTAGGACTTCAGTATATTTCTACAACTATCTGAGCATCTGTTACATGTAAGATACAATGTTAGATGCTGTGGAATACAAAGAAGAATAAGGCACAGTTCCTATCTTCATAGAATTCATTTTTTTCCAAATTCTGTATTGTAACACTCTTGGCCTCTTCCTTCTAGCTTTGCTTCTCTGTTCAGAAGAGGAGTTTATTATCTTTTCATTCAGAATAAAACCATACATTTTAGAAGTCAGTTTATTATTTTTGTGTAAAATGTTCATATACATAATACATATCTACTTAAAGTGTTTTTTCATTATAAACTTCTCAACAAAAGCAAATATAAAAAAAAACTTTAGTAAAAAACCTTTCAGTAAAATCTTTCCTAAGCCCCTTAACTTTTAATAGGGTAAAACCAAAATAATAAACAGACAGCAGGTAAGTAGATATTTTTGTTCTGCTGCATTTGACCCTGCTCTTTCTTTGTTCTATTACCTCTTTCCTTATTTTTCCCTCCTTTTTTATTTCTTCTTTCCTTTACAAAAAAGTTCTCAGTTTTTATCATGTATTACTGATTTCATTTTATATCACCTCGTATGGGTTTTCTAATGTTTGCTTGTTTATTTTATATTTATCATTCAAGTATCATAATACTCCATTATAATAATATGGCATGATTTATTTAGTCATTCTCCAATTTTTAGGTTTTGGATTATCTCTAATTTTTTTTATTAATACAAAGCAGTTACAAACATTTCTGCATATATAGATCCTTTTTTCTTCTTCATGATATTTTTGGTAAAGAGTCATAGCAGTGGGTGTCATACAGTAGAAGGAGTTCAGGCTCTGGAGTCAGAGGACCTGGGCGTGAGTCCCATCTCTAAATCTTCTTACCTGTGTGGCTTTGGACAAATCATTTTAATCTCTGTGGGCCTCAGTTTCTTTATCTTTAAGTTGAAGGGGTTAGATGAGATGACCTCTGAAGTCCCTTCAGACTCTGCATCCATGATCCTGTTGTCTGTCATCAGTTTTGTGACTTATTATGTGTAAGCATGTTACTCTTCTAAATATTGGCACTAATCTGAAGTCCTATCAGTGATGTGTTCCTGTTTTCCGATTGCCCTGCCAACATTGGCCTTGACCATTTTTTATATTTTTTGATGTAATAGTTGTAAGGTAAGTATAAAGTTTCTTGACTTATACTTTTTAAATAATTAGGCTTAGAGAGTTTGAAATCTTTTCGTGTGGTTAGAGACAGTTTATATTTCCTCTTCTGTAACTTTTCTATTTTGTCATGCATAGCTTTTCAAATGAAAGTATTTTGGTTAAATTATAGTTCTCATTTTTGTAATTGCAGGTGAAGGATTTGACTAAATATCTGGATCCCAGTGGACTTGGTATCATCAGTTTTGAAGATTTTTATCGAGGGATTACAGCTATCAGCAATGGAGGTTAGTTTTAAAACTATATTTCTAATTATCTTATCTCCTATAACGTCTTCTCCTTCTATCACATTTCTCTGTTTTTCAGGAGCCATGTCTAAAGTCTCTTCCATGGCTAAATCTCACCCCCATCTCTCCAGTCTTTCTAAGCCTTCCTTTCACACTAGCCTCAGTACCCTTCTTAACCACCTTTAGCACTCTAGCCACTGCCAATTCCTCCACACTCTTTTTGCAACACTTTGTCACCTTTCCATCTCTCTGAAGCCTCCTACTTAGCCCAGACCTCTAGTTACCTTTGGTTTCATCCCTTATTCCTTTGCTCCTAGTCTTCTATTCTCAGCCTGCTTTCTGGTGTGGACATTGACTCGCCAATTTTCTCCCTCTGATTTTGTAACCTTTTATTTATTCAGAAAGCCACTATTATGCTTGATAGGCATTTTCTGAAGATTTAGATTAATCTGTTAATTATTTTCTTATACCTGTTAACGTGATAAGGCAGGGAATTGTTAAAGTATAAAAACATTGGGAGAGATAGATTATCCTCTTTTGTGTACACTTATATCACTTTGCTGAATTTAAATAGTTTATGTTGGAATATTTACAATCAGCTTAGCTGATAAGTTCAAGAATTGGACTTCAGACTGGAAGATCTGAGTTTGAATTCTTCCTTACTAGCTATATGAGCATAAACAAATCAATTAACTCCAAGTAAATGATGGGTACACAAATAGCAGCAAAGTCAGAGGGATGACATGCCTATGGATGAGGCTCTAGATCTAGACCAACTTGAAAAAAAAGTCAGGATTTAACTTTCCTTGTCTTTAAATTGGGAATAATAATATTCACTGCTTAATTCATAGAATGGTTATGTGGAAAGTAATTTGTAAACCTTAAAGCATTATAGAAATTTGAATTACTTCTGATTATAGGAGTGCTTCCTGTACCCTGCAAGCATTGAGGACAGCATCCTAGTTGATAAAAATAAACCCCTTTCAGGAATGTATCTATAGTGGCTTACAGTGATCAGAGTATTTAGGAAATTTGTCCTTTTTTGGAAAATCCTAGTGGTAGGAAGGGGCTCCAAACAGCTTCCTGCTGTGAACAGTATGTTTTTGAAATCTTCACCTCCATTCTTTGTAAGCTGAGGTACGCTTGGTATAATGGAAGGGGTGCTGGATTTGGAGTCAGAGGATTTACATTTGAGGCTCAGCCCTGCTTCTTCCCTTGTGACTTTGGGCATCCCACTTACCCTGTTTGGCACTCAGTTTCTTTATAAAATGAGGTGGTTGGGCTAGATAGCCTCAAAAGTCCCTTCAGCTCTAGAGCTAGAATCCTAAGATTGGAGAGAGTGCAGAAATGAGGGGGCCCCTGGTCCCTTGAAAAGGAAAAACAAATCGTATTTTAGATTGGCAGGTTATTTTTTTCCATGAAAAGGTGATTGCTGTCTCCTTACACCCAGGTCAGCCTTATGAAGACTGAAGCATGATTTATTTTTATAGAGTAAACTAATAAAAGATCTGGTTTAGAAGGCTTCATTTCTCAATTATGTTTTACTTAACTAGAGAGAAAATGTTTTGAAGTGGGGTATAAGAGTATTTTCAAGGGGCAGCTAGGTGACTCAGTGGATAGAGCACCGACCCTGAAGTCAAAAGGACCTGAGTTCAAATTGACCTCAGACCAAACACTTGACACTTGCTGGCTGTGTGACCCTGGGCAAGTCACTTGACCCCAATCACCTAAAAATTAAAAAAAAAAAGTATGTTCAGAATTTGTGTTATGATCCTCAGGAATAGAAGGGGAACCAAAAAGTCTCTTCTTAATAAAGGTGTTCTTTAGACAAAGTAATCTTAGTGATTTTGATGGCAAACCTTTAGCTATCAAGTTAGAAGAATTGAATGAGCCTTGGGTGAGGGTTTGGATTGGAAAACTTGGAAAAACTTGGAAAAAAGTCAGATATTAACGAACACCAGAAAATCTCATATACAGGAGCATCTCAGTTCTAAAAATGCCAATATGAACTTAGAATTGTGCATGATTTTAGTTTTTTCCCACTTAATAGTATTTTATTTTTTCCGATTACATGTAAAGATTGTACATTATTTTTAAAGGAAGACTAATAATTAAAATGTTGAAGTATGATGTAATTCCTAGCCCTCAAAATGTTTTTCAGCTGAAATGGACTGACTTCAAAAAAAATACCTGTGATGTTCTTTATGGAAAAAATGAAAAACTACTTAGTTTTCATGAAGTTGATTGTAGGGTGGGGAAAGGAGGTGAAAATTAATGCCACTGAATAGGGAGGCCATTGATAGTTCCTTTCATCTGAAGACATTAAAGTACTTGGAAAACTAGCATTTTTAACATACAGAGGACAGATGGTGTTTACAATATGTTATTGAAACAAACAAAAAAAAGTGATTCATTTTACATTGAGCTTTCAATCAATTTCATGAATAAAAGGCAAAAGATTTTTTAAAAAATCTTGGATTACTGCAGCAACTTTTAGAAAAACAAAAATAAACTGTGAAACTCCTAGGGTTTTTTGTTTTTTTCATACTAATAGAGCTAGGAAACAAAATGACTCTGAATATGTTACCATTAAACTTGGCCCTGACAGGGCTAATCCAGTCACTTTAACAGTCTTTATTAGTTTCTAATGGTGGCCTCTGTTGATCTTGTATATGACTTAAGCAGTCAGATTGATTACACCACAGAAATGTGTTACATATAGACTTTTTCTGTTTTTGTAGGGTAGGAGCTAACTGCTTTACTTCTAGCAGAATGGTTATAGTAAAGTTAGATATACATACCCTAAGAGATTATGTCCAGAAAACAGATGTTTAAAGAGAATTGAGTTAAAAAATGTAATCTATGCAGGTTACCAGCTATTAAATCAGTGTCATTGTTGAAAAATAGTCATATTTTCAAGGTTCTCAGATAAGGTAATTATAGACTGGCAGATTACAATATAGATTTGAGGAAAGGTAAAATGTTACAAATTATTTTAAAGAAGAGTGAATACTAGTTTTATGTTGAATCAGAATGTTCTGGCATGAGAGGTCAGTAGCAGTTGCTTCTGTGATTTCATCCAGAGTCATGTGATCCTGAGTATGGCTCCTAGTATTTTAACTTATGTTAATAAGAGTCATGTCACTGAGGAGATAATTGGGAAGTAAATTAAAAAGGAAAGCGCAAAAGGTATAAATGTAGAGGACCTTTCTTAAAATAGTCCTTTTTTTCTTTTATTTCTAACTATCAACAAACTTAATCTATGTAGTAACTATTAAGTTAAAGTAATAATTTGGTGTGTTTTAATAAAAAGGGTATGGAACATAGTGGCCATACTCTATTTCTTACCAGCCAAAGGAGATTGAACAAGTTATTAAAAAGAGGAGGAGAGGTGCTTCAGTGATGGCTGCCCTGGAAAGGTAGCTTGGAAAGGGGTAGGCTGCATTCAAATTATGAAGGGCTTTGAATGTCAAACATTGAGGCCTGTATTTTATCCTGGAGACAATAATGGAGTCACTGGAGCTTTTTAAATAGGAGAGTAACATAGTCAGACCTGTGCTTTCTGAAGTGTCCCAGGTGACTGTCTACCTTGCCTATACCAGTCCCTACTCTGTTTATTTTTTAGAGTTGTTACAAGGAAATGACTTTAAAATCTATTGAATTCTGATAGTATTATTCAAATTTATTCTTATCAGATGTGGTCTAATTGAACTCAGGCTGTTCTGATTGAATGTCAAATATAAAGCCATATTTGCAACCCACTGAGAATGTTTATGAACATTTTGCCAGTGAAATTACATGAGAGGAGGGTGGTATTGTGGAAGGAATGAAGACTTGAAAAAAGACTTTAAATCTTAGGACAGAGCCCAATCCTAAATTATCTTCATCAAACCAGTGGCATAAGGTTATTGACTCATGATGATACATTTGGTAATGTAGAGTAGATTTACTATGATGCCAGTGAGTGTAGGCAGTGAATATAGTGCCAGTGAGCATAGTGTAGGTGAATGGAATGGTGGTGGGAGAATGCTATAACTAGAGAGGAGATGAAGCAGAGAATTCCTGTATTGTACATGCCTGTTTCCAACAATGTTCTGACATGATTTATAGACAAGTAGAAAGCATTTGCATTACTACTTGTCTTTTAATTTCATCTATTAAATAATTAGTGACAAATGGGCAGTCAACATAAGGGGGAAAATGAAAATGAATTGTCCATTTCCTCCTGAATAATTTTCCTGTTGTCCTATCTATCCTTCCTATCTGTGTCTTGCAGTTCTGTATGATATGATATACACAGAGATTTGAAAGCTGAAAATTGTTGATTTAGGTTTTTTACTATAGGCATAACTACCTAAAGCTGTTAACTGGATCCACTAAAAAATGACTTTAGGAGAAATGATGCTAATGAGCCAGATAGTTCCATAGGAACAGAGGTGACTGGAGGGAGTCTAGAGCTAACTCTGATGAAAAGTAGGGGCTAGGAGGCGTGGTGTATAGAGTATTGGCCCTGAGTCAGGAGGACCTGAATTCAAATGTGGCCTTACACACTTAATAGCTTTGTGACCCTGGGTATCAGAACTGCCTGAGTGAAAGCCCAATAGCTTTAGAGGGGTGGTTATGTTTCTTAATTGTTGATTAGAGCAGAATTATATAGAGTGTGCTTGTATTTCTTTTAATTTGATACAAATATTTAAAAACAAACCCAAGTAAAAATAAACCACTTTTTTTCCCTTTTGCTTTTCCTGTAAGATTTTTGTTTTGCCTCTTTAATTTTGTTACAAATTCAGCATGTTGTACTTTTTCCCCTTCAAGGCTATAAGGTAAAAATAAATCAGAATTATACGATCAAATCAGAAAAAAACCCACCAGTATATACACATAGAGTTGATGTCATTGGTACACAAAATTTGGTTGGGGAACCTTATGGTGAAAGATATCTTACCTATATGAAGAGATAATAGGGCCTTTTGGAAGATGGAGAAGATACCTTTTCATTA